TGGTTGTGAACTGAGGCGTTCGTGAGCCGAGGTACCACTGTATGCATGTTAATCACTAAATAACCTCACTTAGAAGTTTCATGAAGATATTTAATAGTGTGGGGACAAGATGAGTGTTGTAGGACCCCAAAGCTTAAGCAAAAATCCTCCAGCATTGCTCATCTAACTTTGTCTATGGTCAGAATGAAAGCCAATGGAATTAACCTAAACTGCAATTATTGCTAATTGAAACAGCCAGCTCAGTCACTCGCATTACAACTTTTGATATTACATGGCACAAAATTAGCTTGCAGTGTCAGGTCCCAAATACTGATATTAATTGAATTTTTACCTTGCCCTTAAGTCCAGGTTGCTCGGGACAGCATAGAATGGTCCCTATTTTACTTTTATAGCAACTCTGTGACGTGAACTAAGTGGGAAGAGGGATTGAACGTCTCCAGAGAATTTCTAAGACAGGCAGGGACTTGAACTTACGTGTCTGCACTCAGGCCACTGGGCAGGGCTAGTCAACCTCCCAGCACCAGAACCCACCGGGTGCCACACGCATGCGGCCAAAAGCACTCTCATCAATCTGCTGCTAAAATGACCATTTGAATGCATAATCGCATTCCCAGAATCCCCAGCAGTGCATTTTTACATTAGAACAAGGTAATACTCCCCCTGCTTGACTGTGAAAATGGGCCATGCTGCCAGATTTCGGCAGTAATTCACTGGCAGCCACTTAGCGGCCTCAAATGGGGGCTTCAAAAAGGGCTGGAGAGGCTGCAATTAGGGACATGATTAATCCTATGGATGTAACTGTCTTCCCAGAACAATGTGGACATTATACATATTACAATATGTATAAGTTTGCATACACCAGGCAAATTTATGTATTCAACCTGGACATATTTTCTAATAAAAATGACTGTGTCAAAATCATGTAGATAAGAAGGCTGATCCATGTTTTGGTAGTCAAAAGTCTTTACTGAAAGTTTAGAAGGTAGCTAGAGCAACATTATATTTCTTGAAAGTGCCCTAGAGTGTGTATGGGGAGGGGGGAGGAATTAGAGGCCCAAATCTAGCTAAAACTAGAATTGTTAAACATGAGAAAGAACAAGCCTCTCTGGAAAAGAATGGACTTGGCTTCTTCACAGGGTAGTCCGGCCACACCAGACTTTGAGAATCTCAACAAGCAGGCAGAAATGATCTAAATGTGTATTTAGTGGACTATTGTCTTATTTTCAATTAACTGCACAACACCAAGAGACTTGTTTTCCATACATATATAAACCCTCTTTAGGCCATTCTCTCTGGTGAATGTTGAGAAATTGCGACAGCCACTTCTCTCCACCTCCATTTCTGTGTGCTTTCCTCTACTTCCTTAATTGGCCAGTTGTACTATTGAATGCATAATTACATAATGCTGCTTCAAGCACATGAGCATGCACACACGCACACACACATACACACACTTTTCAGTGGAACCCTTAGTGCCTTCATGCAAGGAAAGCTAAATTGCCAGTGTGCATCTTGGTCTGAGCCCCTCAAAACCCATGACTATACAATCTGCCTCAGATGGAACCACAATATAGGATGTACAACAATGACAAGATTCGGTTTAGATCGGGGTTCAGCATGGATTAATTCAGATTCTGAACATTCTGACCTGAACCCAAGCCTTGAGTCAGAAATCCAAGTCTTGATGCTTCCCTTTGCCTATTTTTAGAAATAAACCAATAGCTATAATTTTTGTCCGTTTGTCAGAAGTGGATGAAACCTATAGATATGAAGAGATTTTATGACGGAATTATATCTGCTGCATTTCAGACAAATAAGTGGGGGATTGTGCTATATGCCATTCTATTTCAATTTCTTTAAAATGGATCTGCCAATAGTTTTATTTCTTGACAGAATAATATAACAACAACAACAACAACAAGGTAAGAGCCCTTTCTGAGGAACTCAAGCCTGCCAAGTTTCTAGGGAATTGATTGAAGTTTATTTGTGCAAGAGCAACCTCTGGGATTTCGGAGCTTCCAACTACAGATTTTGCTTATCCCCTTATGTTTTTTTGAGGACAATCATTACAAAAATGCCAGGCTGTGGTAAGGCTGCTGGATGCTTTGTCAACCACTTCAATCTCCCATCCTCTCCGGGTTCAGACAGCATGACAAGCTCTGACCAGCAAGACTAATGATGCAAACATGGTGGCACACATGCACATCTTGCTGAACAAACCATTGTGCCTTATTAACCACCTGCAATCATATGAAGCAGGTCTCTGTGCCCCTCCAAATTTTCAAAAGCATTCAGATTTGGATTTTGTCCACTTCTGAAGAGCTCCTCTTCAGTCTAAGCATGTCTTAAACCTGTCCAGATCAGTTCCATTCCATTAGGATTTGGGATCCAGCCAAATCCTATGTGAACTGCTGATTGGTGCAATGCAATCAGATTCACGGCAGCTGATGAACGTTCTTTGATTAACCACTTGGAAGTGGTTGAGTTAATGAAGATCAAATCTCATGGTGATCAGTAGCAAAACCTCAGACCCTTCAGCAAATTAAGCATGGAGGGAATATGTCTTCATAAAATGTTCTCTTGGGAGATGGCGGAAAAAGAATCTAACTATAGCCTTTCTTTGAAAACTTGATTCTCTATTGTGAGAACTGGAATCTATACCCAGTAGTCCTAAAGGCTGGAATTTCCATAAAAACAAGGGGTGGGGAGGCTCAGGGGCTAATAATCCCCAGCAAAGATCAATAGCTGTTGTGTGTTTCAAAAATTCCAAGTTGCTTCTTATACTTAGCATTTTTTCAGCCATGTTTATGAAGTTTTTCCCTCCTAAGTGCTTTACTAAGTCTACCCATCCCCAAACGGGGCAAGAGGTGTTATCCATCTCCTCAGAAAGGGGGAAGAGGGGAACAGGCCATCTTGCAGCCAATAGTCAGCAAAAATGTATAATGCTTGGGGGTACTTAAAAAAGGGTCAAGAAGGGGTGCCTCCAGAGGAAATAAAGTCACCCATGTTAAAAAGTAGGATAGGAGGCAGAATGCCATTTTCCAGGATGGCAAACATGGACATGAATGTAACTACAGACATCTCTCGGCGGCCACGAGGTTCCCTCCCCTCACCCAGATTTCAACTGCATTTTTCAACTTACAAAAAACTGGAGGCTGGCATGCTACAAAGAAACGTGCTGTCCACGAGTACCAGTGACTTGGGTTCAAAAGTGTGCATTTGTGTTTTCGAGCTCAGTTCTCACCTCTGCCTTGCACATCGCTTCGAGGGCAAGGAAAAACCATGAAACAAAAGCATGTCACTATGTACCCTACTCTGTAGGGACTACTGCAACATATGAGAAGAGTGCCAGGCTTCACTTAAGCTAATTTTTTCCCCCCAAAACAAGTGAGGTGATTTTAAAACATGTCCTCAATGGGCACTGTCCATTGGGAAATTTTCAAAGGCTGTGTATTGTATTCTTGCTCAGATCCTGCAACTGTAATAAGAATGGCCAGGTAGTTTGCACCCAAATGTTAAATGTCCAATGTTGAAAACCCACCAAGGTAGCAGAACTTTTCCAAGTATGTCTGTGGATCAGTGGTAACCCTAGTGGGGCACCTAACGCATGTCTAAGGTGCAGGAGCCCTGATAGATTGCTCAACACGCTTGAAATATCACCAATTTGAACGCATTTGCCATGTGTTACTCTACTGCAGAAGAGTCAAGTGGGGCATCACCATCAGGAAGTTGAAGTCTGCACTGTATCCCGTGTGACATTGTACCTCTTTGTTTTCAACAAAGAACTTCCTTCTGCTCTGTGGCAATATGCTTTTGCTTCATTTCCCTCTCCTCAGTCTCTTTGTGGACCTTCCTTTGCATGAAGAATAAAGAGCCTCTTCAGCGCAGGGTGCTGTTTTCATTTCAATTACTTGCCTCTGACCTTTCCTAAAATTTGTTAAATCACAAGGAGATCAGCATGAAAAGAGTCATGTGCTGTTGCAGTGCTTATCCAGGGAAACTCACTGAAGTAGAAAGGGATTGGGGGGGGGGGTCATGCCAAACCAAATTGTTGGCAAGGCCAGGCTTAAATAGCAGACAGAAACCCAAAAGAAATGAACACTGCTTGTTTCAGGGCTGGAGCAACAGTAAAAAACTGGAACTAAAAGAACAATCAGCCAAGAAGAGCATAGGAAATCAGCAAAAAAACATTTTTAAAGGTACAAGCTGGAGATCTTCTTTAAAATATACCTAGTAGAAATTTTCAGTCTTAACAGAAAATAAGCATTACGAAATACTAACGTATGTAATGATCAGTTTGATTCTTTGGAATCTGGGGACTGTGGACAATTCTGAGACGCATTTGCTAAAGCAGTAAAGTATAATGAGATACTGCAAGTAACTGACTGCCAGGTCGTCCACAATAAATAGTGCATGGAAAACTTTCTTGCTTGATGGCCTGGGAAAATGTGAATGCATGCTCACACAGAGATTTAATTGTGATTGCTTATGTTGCAGTAAGGGGTATAGCAGGAGGGCAAGGGCAGTAATATCTGGATTAATATGTACCTATTTCACAAAATTTCTGCCCTTGCAAAGAAAGCTCTCCATTGTAAGTAATTTAGCTTAATGTTTTCTTTTCAACTTGCAGTCAATAACATTGCATCTTCCTGTTATCTCAGGTATTACACTTTAAGTTTGTATGTCTATCAAGACATGGCATGTTCTAGATTTTCCAAAGGACAGACCCTGTGATTATTGTGATTGATGAAGACGATGATGATTTTATTAACTATCCTTTAAACATATGAAAAATAGATTGGAAGCTGATAGGATTTATTTCCATTGGTGAAGCAATTTGTTATGGCATCTTCTAAAGAATTTAAATTTCTTCCTCTTTTCTTGTTCCTCAGTTTTACTATTTACATCACTAGGCAGAAAAAAGTGAGCTTTCGGGCTACTGGCTCAAAAGAACAGACATTATCTCAGATCCTTGTTTTTGCTGAAGCTGGACTTTTATGATGCATCTTTCCATCCTACTTCTCTTCATCCTGTTGAGAGCAATGAGTGCTCAGTTTCCTCGGCAGTGCGCCACAGTTGATGCACTGACTAGAGGTGAATGTTGTCCAGACCTGTCTCCAGTGGTGATTCCTGGGACAGACCGCTGTGGGTTGTCTTCTGGAAGGGGTGAATGTGTACAAGTGATGGCAGATTCACGACCCCATGGACCCCAGTACATGCATGATGGTCGGGACGACCGCGAAGAATGGCCTCTACGTTTCTTCAACCGAACCTGCAGGTGCAATAGAAATTTCTATGGCTACAACTGTGGGTCCTGTCAACCTGGCTGGAGTGGACCCGCCTGTGACCATCCGACACAAATAGGTAAGGGCAAGAGAAGAGTCATACTTCTGTTTTGTGTTTTAGCACAAAGCTGCCTCCCTTTTAAAAGGAAGATTGCAGTATGTGTAAGAGCTAAATAGTTACTATAACACCTAGCTATAATAGCTTGGTATTTCTCTGGAAATGAATTCTCCATAATGATTCAGTTTTCATATCTTCTGTGAACTTGCAAACCAAATAAGAAATTTCAAATGTGCTGGCATGTGACTCTGCATATTTTTCTTAGCAGAAGTTTTGAGTTGCTATAGCATAAAGAAAAACAGAATATATGTTAAACAAATAAAATGTAAATAGAAGGGTTCTTCAAAAAGTTTCCACTTTTTAAAACTCTATTTATTAAGAATTTCAAAAACAAATTGCATCACCTTTCTACATAGTCACCTTCCTTTGCAATGCATTTTTCTCAGCACTGTACCAACTTCTTAATGCCATCAGCAAAAAATATATAAAATATATTTCTAAAATATAAAAGCGTGGAAACTTTTTGAAGACTCCTGGTACATTATCTTTTAGAAATGTATGTCTTACATGGGTGGATTGGTAAGTTAGGGCAAAAATTGTTGCTTCTCAGTCCACTTTGTAAGGGAGGCAATAGCTCCATTTGAACATCATTCCTACTTGAATGGTGGGGGTGGGGGGTAGGGAGAGAAGATTTGGTAAGTCGATATGGTTTTCTCCAAAATGTTAATGGTTTTGTGGGATTTGCATCCCAGTTCTCAAATGTGAATGTCTAGTAGAAGGCTGCATGGATGTGGGGACATTATTCATTTGCCCACTGATGGGCTGGGCCAAGCTGGGAAGTAAGCAGGCATGGGGACAGACTTAAGCATACTGTGGGGAGTATCCAACACTGCTGCTTCACTCATGGAATTGATGCAGCACACACATAAGCAAGTTCTGGTGCAATGGAGCAGTGTTTGTTGCGGTAACGCATTTTGCGGGGAAACCCATCACTCTCGCATTCCCTTTTAGTGCGTTTCTAGAGACGGCTTATTCTAGCACTACACCAAGGAGGAAGCAGAGTGGCACACTGGATACTGCCCTAGGTTATCTGCATTGTTTGTTAAATAATAACAGAGACAGAATGAGATGTGGGTGCCATCTTTCAATACACAGCAGATACCAAAAAAAAAAAAAGGAAGATGCAATGCTATGTAAAATCAATGGTGCATTCACATACTGAGTACTGTATGCTAGTGTGTTTGCTTCGTAAAAACAAAACATCTAGAGAAGAGCAATGTAAAGATCAGGGAGATGCTAAGCGAAGCCTTTGGTGTAAAGAAGATTCAATGAAAAGGGATATTATTGTATTACATAAGATTACAAGTAGACTGGACAAGTAAATAGGGCTAATTTACACATGCTCCACTCCTTCTTATAAATTGATAATTGTCTTGGTACCTCTTGCAAACCCATGAACACTGATTTTAGAGATTGGTATGTGAAAATGGCCCATTCCAAACATGTTCATAGAGTAGATTTTGATGCTCTTTGCTTGTTGAATGATTACCAGAAATATGGGAAGTGGGGGGAAGGAGCCTAAATCTTCTTCCTCATTATATCTATCTCCCACCTTCCTCCAGGAATTTGTCCATAGTTCTCCATCCACCATTTTAACTTCACGGCAACTGGGATAGGTTTAGGCATGGTGAATTGACCCAGTGGGCTTCATAGCTGAGTGGAGATTTGAATCTCGGTTCCTACTGCCTAGGTCAGTATTCAAACCACTTATCACACTGTCTGTCATGGGACAATCATCTGTGACACAAGTGTCCACAGCAGCACCATGAGAAGTAGCAGATAGGCCCACATTTCACCATCACTCAGATTTTACCATGGAAAAATTCAAGAGGTCTGGGTGCAATTTTTTCCCTTCCCCAGATGCCCTCTCTCTCTCTCATAGGCACTAAAAATAAGGACATTTAAAAAATAAAATAGCATCTGAAACTGCTATGCAACCCAAAAAGCAACCAGTTAGCAGGAAAGGAGGAATTTCAGGAGGAAGGCGGGAGCCACATTTCTTGATCTCTTTTCTTTCTTGTTTAATTTTTTATTTAAATTTTAAACAAGTACAAAAATCATATAATAAAGAAAAAACTCTCAATACACAAAATTGATTTAAAAAAAAACACACCCCAGAAATCACCCTTAGTGCACCCCTCCACTGGGACCATAGCTGCCTAATATTCTGTCTTTCTTCCTTCTGTCCTTCCTTCCTTCCAGTTTTTCTGAAATACCTCCTTCCAACCAAAATTGTAATACATCCTTTAAGGGTTTATTACCCTCCCCTTTTATTGCTACATATTCAATAAACATACCCCATATATTATTAAAATCATTCTTCTTTACCAATCCTTCTTTCTCCCTTATCGCACACATAAACTTGTCATTAACTGCTATATTCCAAACTTCTTTATACCACTCAATTAATAGGAGATCCCATTTTCCTTCCAATTCTTTGCTATTGCCAGTTTTGTTGCACATACCAAATTTATTATTAATTCTTTGATATTCCATCTCCATTTCTTCTCACTAAAAATTAGCAACAATGCTTTCAGGATTGGCTTCAACTTTTAGATTCAATATCATAATAATCTCAAAAATCATTATCCAGAATTTTTGATACTTTCATGTTCTCACCACATACAGAAATAGGTATCCGTATTTCATCCACAGCATCAACATAAATTAGAATTTTTATTATCCATATAAAATAATTTAACTGGGGTCATATTCCATTCCCATACTAATACATAAAATTTTCCTTAATTTTAACTGACACACTTTTTAATATTCTTATCTCATATTTCCCCCCAATTATCCTTGTCTATATCTTTTGCTGAATCCATTTCCCATGAAATTTTTAAGAGATCATTTATATCTCCTCTAATAAAATCTTATATCTCCCTTATGACCCCCCCCCCCCCAGTTTACATTCCATCTTGAGTCTCCCTATTCATCACAGTCTCCTCAAATTTGGTAAGATCTCTACACTTACCATTTTTCTGCAACTATCCTCTAGTCCATTGTTCCAACTGCATAAGATTAAACCAAATTAATTTTCCAGATAATTTTTAATTTTCTTTATGCTTTCCTTATTATCCATTTTCTCCATCCAATCTTTTACCCTAAATATTTGTTTTTCTTTTAATACCTTTCTTAAACTATCCCTCAATTTTTCTGGAAATCTTCTAATCTCTGTAAGTGGGGTTATTGGTGAGATGATTGACATAAATTCTGCCCTATACTTCTCCCAAATTTGTATCATTTTTAAAAGGGATTTTCTATCCTTTTTACCATCTTCTTATCATTTAAAGAAAATGTTTAAAAATGATTGCTCAATTTCCTGTTGTTCCATCTCTGCCCATATTACCTCATCTGGCTTCAAAAATAATATTTGGTATACATCTTAATTTCTTTTCTTTTTTTCTTCTCTCTCTCTCTCTCTCTCTCTCTCTCTCTCTCATTATTCCTTATAATTGTCTATTGTTATTATCTGTTTTAGCTGTTTTAAACATTTTAATATTTTTTCTGAATTCATGACATTTTATTGTACTCTTGTCTGTTTTATGGACTGTGTAAACCACTCAGAATGCTTTGACTGTAGGGTGGTATAGAAATGAAATAAAATAAATAAATATTGGCTGCTCCTGCTGTAATGTGCATAGAAGGTTTGCACAACCAGTTATATTCAAAGTAGATACTTCAAGATATACATATATTTGTGAGCCACTGTCTATTGTTTTTAGAGTGTTGGACTGGGACCCAGGAAAGTCAGGTTCTAGCCTCCACTCAGCCATGAAGATCACTTTGGGTCAGTCACTGACTCTCAGCCTGACCTCCCTTGCAGGGTTGTTGTTGTGAGGATAAATGCAGAAGAGGGCTGTGTAAGCGACCCTGGATACCTTGCAAGAGGGAAAAAGGCAGAATGTCAATATAACTTAATAATAATTTATAACAAACTTATCTTTTTACAAAGGCCAAATTCTGAATTTGAGTGATTTAATACCTTTCACTAATACCTAGATTTCACTTTTTACATAGGAGATTTATACGTATGAAATATCCATCTTGTATTATATTTACTTTCATTTCTTAACACTTTTTTCCGTTTAACCTTTAGTCAGAAGAAACCTCCTGGATCTGAATGATGAGGAGAGAAGTCGGTTCTTAAGAGTCTTGCAGCAGGCCAAGAACACCGTGCACCCAGACATTGTGATTGCCACAAGGAGGCGTGAGGAGATCATGGGCCCAGGGGGAAATACACCACAATTTGAAAATGTGACCATTTATAATTACTTTGTGTGGTCCCACTATTACTCGGTCAGAAAAACTTTCCTTGGGCCAGGTCAGCAGAGTTTTGGTGGGATAGATTTCTCCCATGAAGGGCCAGCATTCCTCACCTGGCACAGATACCATCTACTGCAGCTAGAGAGAGACATGCAGGTAAAGGTTCCATTATGTGCATCCTATGCTGGCACATGAAAGCTTTTCTGCATAAGGCATTTATTGGGCCCTCGTGGTTCCCAACTAACAATTGTTAACCAGTTCTTCGGATGACGATGTGGCCCTCCAGTGTCACATCCGGTTTTTAAAGAGCACTCGGAGTAAATTTTTTTAATGGAGGAAAATGAAGCATTGCTTCTGAAAATGAAGGAAAATACTTGTTAAATGTCTGTAATTCTGGTATGCCACTGTGCCACCTAGAGGGGATGCTGTGGAATAGCAGGAAAGGAAATGTTCTTTGCATAGTGCTTGCGTGGCAGTTCTGTGAGTTGATATTCCCATTCCAGGCTTTTGAACAAGTTCAGTTTAATTTTTCCAGGACAATGTAAGCATTTTTTGTCATGCATGTTGACAGTGGTCCTGAAGTTTTATCAAAAAGATGCTCCACATGGATTTAGGGGCTTCCTTTCCATAGCGCTGTTGGTTAGGATGGCCAACATGCATCCCACCTTACAGAAGACAGCCCTCTATTTTGAGGAGCAGGCAGAACACAGTCTTCCATTTGAAACAAGTGCTCTCACTCCACAATGAGATTTGGCATTACAAGCAACATGGAACCACTGCTACTCTTTTGCTCCCCGTAATGTAGTTTTATACAACCTGCAATGTGATGGCATCATGCCACGTGCTTCCCTCGGCCCGGCCAGCTGCAGGTGATTGGCTGTCAGTGGCAGGCAAGAGAGAGATGCCATGCCAGTTTTCCATGCCATAATTTGTATTAGCCTCGACATTAGTGAGAAGGAAAGGCTAGGAAGAGAAGATGCCCTGAGCAGCCATAGATCCATGCCACTTGCAATGCTCAGTATGCCCTCAGCCCCACAAAGATTTTCCCATTTCCTCCATGACTGATCACCTCTTGTGTAAACTCTTCTTTTCTTTATGGGTTTTCCTGACTTGGTCCCCAATAACACCCCTTCGCCATTCCGTTCCTTTCCTTTTATGCATTATGACTCTTCCAGGTTTTCAGCCACACTTTCTCCACACACACACACATCTGGATGAGCAAAGTATCACACACTGGTTCACATGGAAATGGAATGGAAAAATCACCACAAAGGGAACTTTTGATCATCTGGAGTTCACTCAATCATATTTCTCAATGCAGTCAGCTGCAAGTCATCTATTATTGGGTGGATAGTCAAGTGACTGCATATATGTGTGACCCACCATCCCTGAAATATAGTTCTATTGAAGTTGCAGGGAGGCTGCAATTTATCATAATCAAATATAGGTGGCATGTTATCTTGAAAAGATTTGAGCTACAGTACAGTTAATATTCTGTATTAATATTAATATTTGATAGTTAATATTTGGGGAGGATTGGTAGTTCAGTGTTGCATTGTATGCATAAGGTCCCAGATTTGATCCCTAGCATCTTCAAGTCAGGCTGCAAAAGACCCCTGCCTGATCCAGCTATTTTCCATGTCAGCACCCGGAAGGCCCTGCTAGCATGGCCAATGGTAAAGGATGCTAGGAATCAAAGTCCTAAACATGTAGAGAGGTTTATTTTCTGTCCATCTGGGTGTAAATAATACCAAGCTAGATGAACCAATAATTATTATTTCAGAAAATTTCTATACTCCACATTTAAAAATTGAACCTTGAAGTAGTGAATAGGGCAGCTTCTTTTTATGGAGTCAGTTACATGGATAGGAATAGGGAAATGTCTAGTTATTCATATTACTGGCCACATCTTCAGACTTTACCAGCGTTGCATAGAAAGAAGTGCTCACCTTCCACTGTGGTAATGATTCAGCTATCTCAGGATTCCATCAGGTTATTTCTGCAACACAATGTAGCTCACTATTAATCCATTCTTCTATTCATCAGGATATGATTCAGGATCCCTCTTTTGCACTTCCCTACTGGAACTTTGCAACAGGTAGAAACACCTGTGACATCTGCACAGATGATCTAATGGGAGCTAGAAGCAACTTCGATGCCTCTCTTATAAGCCCAAACTCAATCTTCTCTCAATGGAATGTTCTGTGTGAAAATATTGATGACTACGATACTCTGGGAACCATTTGCAACAGTAAGCCTGGATTTATCAAGTGTACTTAGCTGTTGCTAGGCCACTTTCTCTGTGAAAGCTAACATTTTAACAAATACCAGGCCATGTTAAAGGTTCTGCTTGGCTGTGATACAAAACTTAGCTGATTTATTCCTTTTCTTAACCTTGTTTCTAGAAGAAGGAGGTGCTATTTTCAGAGCTTCCAAGGATGGATAGATTATTTTATAATAAATCAAGGCAGGACAGATAGAATGTGAAATGTCTTAGCTTTGGAGAGTTAAGGAACATTCAGCTGTCTCTAAGATTTCTACTTTAGATGCAGAAACTGGGATTTGGGCAAGTGATTCTTGCTCCAAATATCCTGGATGATGACAGTATTAAGGCTTGTTTTTTGTACTCCATGGACATAGCAGGCAAATGGGGTCAACACTTGCACAATTTTTGGAATCTGTCAAGGAAAATAGAGTTCACCAAGCACGCCAGGTATTCAAGGACTCCCCTCCCCTCCACCCCTGCCCAGCAAAAGTAGAAGGGTACTGTATATGATGCATGGGCTGTGTTCACTTCGGTGGGTTGCAGATTTATTTATTCATTTAAAGCTTTTATATACTGTCCTTCACTAAGTCCCAAGCTGCCTTCAGCTAGTCTGTTTCAGCAGACATTAAGAGTATGCATCCTACAATTTGGCTGCATAGAAAGAAAAGAGAAAAATGCCAGCACCTCATCCATATTGTACAATAATATAGGTAGAAGGGGTACATCATAAGACTTCTGACTCTCCCTGGTTCTAGGGCTAGGAAGTAGCATGGAGGAACAACAGAGGGGCTTCTTCCTGGGAGGACTACCATAATATGTCAGCTTGTCTTGCCTTTCCTTTGCACCACAGTCCCTCCGAATCAAATGACATTTCAAGTACAGAATACAGGTGTGAAGGGGACCTTGATAGACCGAATGTGATTTGTCACCAAGCAAAGTTACAGTAAAACATGAAACTGCTTGATGGACACACAGTTGTGTTTCCACAGAATACAGTAGTCTAGTTATTATCTTGGGATTGTTTCATATATATTCTAGTTCAGAATCTAGGATCCTGAAAGGAATAGTTACTCCTAGCACGTAATTCTCAAATTATTGCTTACGTCCAATGTTTTGGATTCCCTGTGTAAATCATTCTAACCCCAAACATAACTCACATTTAATACTATGTATTCACATTAATAAAACCAGTATGATTGCAGTGCTCAAGGTGGTGGCTTGCAGTCTCGGTACCTATGAGTTCCACCTTGCCAGATGCCCATGCGGTGTGATGAACATCTACTCCGCCTCTATTGACTAGGACTTTAGAGCATCTTAGGGCCAGTGTTCCCAGCTGGTTGGAACCCCATGGGCTATATGCCTCACCTCTGTATCTGGGTTATGCTATTGTCACTGAAAAATCACTTACGATAGCCAGAATGTTCTTGTGGCAGGCAGGGAGAATTTAGGTGTTTGCCTTGGTCTGGTTCGCGGCTGCATTTCCTAGAGTTTGCAGTACTCTCTGCACAAGCCCTCTTCTTTTTCCCTTCGTTCCTGTCAGGCACAGAAGGTGGCCCAATCAGACGAAATCCGGCTGGAAATGTTGCTCGGCCAATGGTGCAGCGCCTCCCTGAGCCACAGGATGTTGCTCTTTGCTTAGAAGTCGGCTTATTTGATACGCCTCCCTTCTATTCAAATTCAACGGACAGCTTTCGTAATACACTGGAAGGCAAGTAACGATCGAGACTCCTCTGTGCTTATGGTGTTGGCATTGAACAAAAGCAAGTCATTTTTTTCACAGAAAGAGAAAAAACCTATTTAGGACATCACATTCCTTTGTCCGCTCCACCCGCCCTAGCCCCAGATGCATGGTTATGTGAGGAATCCAAGGTTTGGAAAATAAGAGAGTGAGATGTTATTCAGCTGGAAAAAGATTATAAATATCTCCTTGATACTAAAAAGAGTAATTCCCTGAATCACTTATCATTTTATCCCATTAGAAAAATATAAACAAATGAAATGCAATTTTCTCAACATTGAAAAGTAATATTTTCCATGCCTAAATATTGGTTTAGAGTAATCAGTATTTTTCATTCTGAGAGGCTGTGTAATGCAATGGTTAGAGTGTTCAGCCGGGGTCCAGCAATTCTGAATTCTAGTCTCCACTAAACCACAAAGCTCACTGGGAGATTTTGGGCTAGTCACTGTCTGTCAGTCTAACTTACCTCACAGGGTTTTTGTGAGGATAAAATTGAGAAAAGAAGGCAGATAATGCAAGCCACCTTGAGGTCCTCAAAAGCAAAAATCTGGGAGCTAAATACAATAATATTAATTTATCCACCACAAAATAAATGCATATTAGCAATATATGTCTATGTGTGTATGCATACATTTTTCAGCATTCTTTTCTTTAGATTACTTTCACACAGGCACCTTATTCCCACACATTCATGCAGTTCCAGAGTTGCACCTTCAGGAACCACATCTTCAGAAGTTTCTGGGTGCCCCGAAGCAATGACTCCCTGGGAGCTCTGCCAGCATCCCACTGACTTTTCCCAAGAGGAATGAGCTTGGGGCACGTGAAACCTTGAGAAGCAATTGTGCCATGGTGTCTTCAGGTGGTGAATCCTGAAGGAGCCACTCACCTTTTCTGAGGAGTGCCTAGAGCCGCTTCTGGAAGGAGTGCAGGTTTGGGGGAAGAGGAGGAGCCTGCACAGGCCAGGTGGGCAACTCCCAAGGAGCCCCTCACCCCTGCTGGACATTCTTATTTATTGTTTGTTCCAGCAGGTCCGTGCACAGAAAGCAGATGCAGCAATGTTTAAGGCAGCATTCTAATAACGTATCGACAAATCAACACATTGAGAGCCATTCTGTGCATCCCTGCCATACCTCCCACTAATAGGCCAAATGACAAATACAACCCCAAACACAGATACAACTTTCTCCTGAGGAAACTTCATCTTTAACTTGCTCTTAAAATGAACAGACTTGACTTTATCTTCTGAGCTACATTCTCTAACTAGAAGAGGGCAAGGTCAGAGCCACGAGATCTGGTAGTAATGAAACAAGATGTCATACTTTCACCCACTGCTGTGATCGTTCAAATTCCAAGGAGGCCATGCTTCCTATTTTCTATTTTAATCATTTCCACAGAACCCCATGGTGCATGTTGTTGGTCTCCTAACCTCACAATCTGGCAGCACTTGATAGTGAAATATATTTCATGTTTTATTTACTTTTTTACATACTTGTAAACATTACTGTGAAAAATACTTTACATGGTTTTATAATCAATATGGTTGGTTCCTGAACATTTAAGGTAGTAAGTGGGAAGGCAGCAAAAGTCAATGGGTGGGTTAGTCAAGGGCAGAATGGGATGACTACAAAGGCATTTACACATGGATGGGCTTGATTGAATTTGGAGATGGGTTCTGATGGGTTAATTTTGTGACAGTGCTCTAAAAGGAGCTTCGGGCACCAAATAGAGGTATGGGACATTTTTTTTGGGGTGGGCAACTGGATTGCCTCCCCCCCCCCCAAAGCCTCCATGGGCCACTTGATCACAGTGGGCATGGCCACACTCAAAGCTGTTGTCACCTATTCGCTATTGGGAGAAGGGACAAGAGGCAGGAGATTCCATGCCTCAGCCCCTAAGGGAATCCCTGGAGGTTTCATGGGCTGAAATGGGGAGCCCAGAGGGCCCAATGAGGCCTGTGGGCCAGGGGTTCTGCACCTATGAGAAACACATTTGTAGACAGAGTTCTACGAAGGAATTATAAGAGTGATGAGAGGGACACAGCTATGTTAGAATCGGTTAAGGACAGGGTCACAAGGATGGTAGCTGAATTGGATGCCAGCTGAGATGAGACTGAGGGAACTGGGTCATTTCGGCCTGGAGAAGAGGAGACTCTGAGGGGATCTTATAGGTATGTCAGGGGTTTCACACAGAAGAGGGCTGTGACCTGTTCTCCCCCAGGGGTATTGCAGGAGTGGAGCTGGCTGGAGCCAGGCGTCCCAGACTAGATGGCCCAGGAGGCCCCTTCTGACTTGCTGGGCTTCTATGAGTAACGAGCGGCAAGATCAGTTGGACAGAGATATTAAAAACATAGGAGATGCTGGGGCAGAGAATTTCTGCAGGAATGAAGCTCAAAGGAAGGAATATATTGCAGAAATAGTAGAGTCCTTTATTGTGCCAAGCATAACAACACTTAATTTCATTCATTCCAGTTTCAGGGATTTTCCTCATAGAAGTATTTTAAGTCTTCTGAAAACCGAGATTCTTACATTCCAAAAAATAAGCTCAGCAGTACTGTAGAACCAGGAGAGAGAATTTTTGGACTCCTGAAGCATCAGGTCCCTTTCCAAAGTCAATCCGCCAGCAGTCAGTCAGGAAAAGACATGTGGGGAAGTAAGGAAAGAGCTGGCCCATTAGGAGAGATTACAACACCTTGACACTGGTTGAGCCACTAGAAAGTGCATGTAATAGTTTCTGTTACGTCCAGTGCAATTTTAATTCAAAAGAAAAAGCCTTAAGTTCATGCTTATAAAGGAAACAGATTTTTGTATTTCATCACTGTCGGAGTATGGCATCACTTTTGTTTTAGCACACACATGGAAGCAAGCAAGTCACCTCTTGATCTAGTATGATTCAGGTCCATTTAATGTCAACATTGACTTTTCTAGGGGAATTGCATTCCTATGTTTAATTCAGGGATGAGAAGCCATATTTCCACTGAGGATTGACCTGTCCCTCCAGGCCCCTTTAGACGCTCGATGACATCAGGGGAAAGACCTTGCCAGTGATGTCATGGTTGGGGCCTCACCTTGTGCCTTGGATCTCCAAGGTCACCATGCAAGGGTACAGCAGATATCACAAAGAAAAGATAACAGGGGAGTCCTGTGCTGCACTTCCTCCCAAAATTCCAGGTGCCTCCAGGTGTAGTGGCATGACTCCGGGAAGGGAGCAGTCAAGCCCCATAGAGAGACCCAATGCCTCTGCAGGCCAGGTTACGCCATCAGGCCAGAAGTGGTTTGAGGAGACAATTATATGGGAGAAGCCATGCAAGTCAAGCCAGCTGCCTGTCCTCATGCAATTCAAACAAACATCCGGCTGAGAATGGTGCTTGGACAGAAGATTTCCACTACTGATTTCACCCTCTTCTCTCTTTTTATGTTCAGGCTACAGCAATCCCTCTGGAAAGTATGATCCAGCAGTACGCAGTCTGCACAACCTAGCTCATCTGTTTTTGAATGGGACTGGAGGGCAAACCCACTTGTCCCCAAATGACCCTATTTTTGTCCTCCTGCACACTTTCACCGATGCTCTCTTCGATGAATGGCTGAGAAGGCACAATCATGGTGAGACGCTTCGGCTTGTGTTATTTGGCCACACTGAATCAAAGAAATGGTTTATCCACTGCAACACACCTCCATGATGCTCCTTCAGTACAGTTCAGATCAATTGGTCAGCCACCCGTCTCTGCCTGTGCTAATGCTAAGATCCCATTGCAGCAGTGCAGCCAAGCTCCGTGGCACAATTCCATCATTGTCTTCCTATCTCTGGAAGCAGAAAATAATGCAGCCCTAGAAGGAGTTCTTGTGTTTGCTGATTATGCAGGATAAATCGCACCAAGTGATCACAAAATCATGAGGCATTTTCCCATGTCAGCTGACCAGGGTAACAGAAATAGCCGCATTCTTTTCCCTCCCTCTCATAACTTCACATATTTAAGCCAGGCACTGCTTTCTGTAATCCTTCTAACGACCACCCCCGCAAACACACACACAGACACACTAAACAATGGACTCAGTGTTGCAGGCCAGCATTTATTTATTTATTTATTTATTTAGGCAGCTTTTTTGCAGGTATTTCTATCATACAGCAATGATTTTTTATAGAAAATCAAGTATAATGATGGCAAGCTCAAAAGGGCTGTTTGTTACTGCTGTAAAATCACATAAGTTCAAGATGCTTCTTAAACAAATGCAAAACAAAAGCAGATGGCATAGGAGGAGGAAGCAGTCAGTCTCGTTGCTGGTCTGGGCAACGGCACAGCAAAAACAGGGCAGAGAGATACAGGGTTCCCTCCAGTGTAAGTTAAGTCCCATACATTGCAATAGCTCTTGTCTAGGACTAACATTGGCTAATGCCCTAGGTTCCAGAACAGCTTGAAGGCAGTGGTTTTCTAACCGCTTTTGGGGGATCTAGGAAGATTATCTGAGGAAACTGGCAGATGGATGTATTTCCCTGATCAACTACTTGTTCATGCCTACAGATTTCCCCCTGTACTGAAAATTATTAGACATGGAAACATTTTCAGTTTGTGTGTGACAGCAGCAAGGTTAGATGGACATCCTTGATATTCATTGTGTACTTTAAAGCATGTTCCAGAACACTTTTCAATCTGCAGAGTTTCTGTAGAGGATGCACAGGAGCTTCTCGGCCTAGAGACCAAAATATTCTAAAGGTAGAAAATCTGAGCAATAATGTTTTTGTTTTTCATCAAACGAATTCTTCATCGTTGTCATCATGGTTATCCAGCCATGCTTATTTGTTTTATGGCATTAGCCTTCTACCTCAAGAACCAATCTCTCTGCTTGACAGACAAAATAATGATAGCATTTTGGTTTGGGCTGTCCTTGATCCTGCCTTAAATTTTGAGAGCTATAGTGACTGTAAAAAGATGGATAGAATTATTACCTATTGCTGAAGGCCCAGGTAGTAAAGCTGATTCTTTATTCAAACACTAACCATCTAGTAATCATTTCAGGTATATGGTAACCAGGGTGCTAAAAAAAACTCTGATTAAAAAAAACAAATTTGTAAAGTTGAATTGGATTTTTTAAAATATAAATTGGATTTTTTAAAATTTAAATTGTATTTTTTAAATAAAATGCTTTCTGAGGAAAAATCTATCTAAAGATAGTTTTCTGTTTGAGATATATTATAGTCCAAAGATTATTCATCATGAAATAAGGGTTAGTTTTTAATTATGTAACATGAGGCTGTACATTCATGCAATGTTTAAATTTTTTGGTAAATTAATTCCATTAATCCATTCACAATGTCATGCTCTTCCAGAATTTTCAGTAAGATTATTGGGCAGTCTGTCTATCTAGAAGATGTTATCACAGGTGCTTGGTTTTATGGTTTTCAAAACTGTGAATTTGTGTCTGCAGAGATCACATGCCACTTCTTCACAGCAAAAAAGTCATAAAATAAGCATACAGAGTTGAAAAAGAGCCTTAATCCCATTTTTTCCTTTGCAAATCTATGTACACAGAATCAGCCCCTTACCTCTCAAGTGCTACGTTTCAAAAACTTAAATGAATAGAAGATTGTTGGGAGTGGAATAATCTGTACAAGAAGCTAAGTGTGAGGAAGGAGGGGCAAGCAGTAAATATGAAAGTGAAACCTTTTGAGCTGAATACTCCACAAGTCTTTGGATCTTTTTGTGTATAGCCTGAGGTTTATCATATTATTCTTTTCCTGGAGGAGAAAACCTAAAATGGTAGGCCATAAAAGAGACCCAGTTTGGAAATGTTTTAATGATGTTCCTCTGCTTATGGATAAGGCAGATGTGTGTAAAATGATGATCTGAATCTAGTTTTACTGACTAGTGATTTAAATTGATTTTATTTAAATCCAATCTACCTTAATGGTAACCCATACCCACTTTAATAATATGGATTCTGGACGGTAAGTACTTGAACAAACTTTTAACCCCACTTAGTGGGGCCTTTCATCCTAAGTAAAGAGAACATGAAGATAACGCTTACCGGGCTGCCTATATTAGGGTCTAGAAACTGAACAAACTTTTTATCTATAGATATCTCAATATACCCACTGGAGAATGCCCCCATTGGACATAACAGACAGTACAACATGGTACCCTTCTGGCCTCCTGTGACCAACAATGAGATGTTTGTTACAGCACCAGAAAATCTGGGCTACAGTTATGACATTCAGTGGCCAAGTAAGTTATGTGATCTATCCTCTTGATTATATAACTCACTCTTTTTATTCTCTAATTAAGTGGTTCAAAAGTTGGCTTACTAGTATTTACAAATGCATCATAACGCCAAGGGCTGTTCTGTTTCTACAGCTCTTTGAGTTGGACAGCATCCATAAAATGCCAGTTGAAGCCCATCAAAAATACTGGTTTTTCAATCTGTGTTATCTGCTTGACCTGTTTTAATCAACAAAGAAAGAGGGTAGAGGAAAAACATTCATTTACGTCATTGACATACAATAAAATTGAACTTCCAAGATGTAATAACCAAGTCCACGGGCCCAACACCAAAACAAAGCAAAAGCAAAACAAAAAGCCACTTTATTTGGTAAAGGAAAATAGTAAGCCAACAATGATACGTTATACATTGAGAAGGATAACTCCACCCCTTAATCAGTTTGCCCATGATTTCTAACTCTGTGTTCTGATTTGGAGTTCCAAGCAATTCATGCTTTTTTCCAAGGAAAGTCAGCTGAGGTATTTACATGTATGAGTGCCAGCTCTTCTAATCTTTGTCTATAAATAAAGAGTGTTTCCTTGTTCTGATTCTCAGAGCAAACTGCTCAGGCTGATTTCTTGCATTAAGCCTCTGAGGCTGCTCTCCGAGCCACTTTCACAAGGAAGTAAACCACAGTGTAATCAGTGAGGTTTATTTCTGAGTAAACTTGCATAAGACTTCATTTTTAGGGAAGCATCACAAACAACATAATATCTGAATGGCTAAAGATCAGCAAAGTCTACTGTTCTGGAATTCAGGCAATTCAGTGGGAGATGTTCAAGAAGGCTAAATTCAAGTGGGATAGTGATGCAATGAAGAGTAAATGGAAATGGTTGGTGCTTGGTAATATCCACAATTTCTAAAGCAGGGATTCCCAGCATGCAGTACCTTGTTTCAAGCAAAACTGTGCCCTTGGAAGCCCACTAGAACTTTAATTTTGCATGAAATCAGGGTATGTGCTCCTTACATATCTTGCTTTTTAAAGGAACTTAGTGGTGTTTTGTCAGTGCTGTGCTGTTGAATTTCAGTAGCATAACTGCACTGGGTAGCAGCAATTTTGGCAGTGGCAAAGACTGGGTTTCAGCAAAGAGGGAATTGGCCCTGGTAGCCAGAGTTGCCCACCCCTGCTCTAAAGTAAGGTAGTCCAGTAGATCATCCTTTTCTCTATATCAGATTTTAACACCATCTGCCTTTTCTTCTTTCTAGCTCGGGCCCTCCAGATCACTGAAATCATATCCATTGCCATTGTGGCTGCACTGATCCTGGTTGCAATTGTATTTGTCAGTGCTACATGCATAGTGTATGCCAGGAGAAAAAGAGATGAATTTCATCAGCCTCTTCTCACTGACCAGTATCAGTCCTACTCAGATGATTACGACAGCATACCAACCCCAAGCCAGTCTGTGGTGTGACACGGCAGCTGCTTACCTGTGCTCCCTGACATCTTTCTGCTCTCACTGATGATAAGGAACATTAAGCATGGCCCAGCCTTGCTACATCACATCTCAGCAGGGACACCTTAAGTCATTTGTGTCAGTAATGTGTTTTCTTTGTTAAGAGCTTATCAGAATCCCTGTTGGTTTCACCTACTATGTGGCTTTGCCACTTAGCCAGCCATCATAAAAAATAAAGGTGTGCTCCATCAGAGTGTAATAGGCTGAATGTGCACATTTTATGCAGAGGCTTGGACATACTGGGTACGCTTCTCCCATTTAGAGTTTATTTGTGGGGGTATCTTTTGTTTGTTTGTTTTGGTAGAATTTGATTTTTTGTTCTGCGTGTGGAGAATTACGCAGAGATTAGGGCTGAGTTTAAATGAATGGGTATGTTCCTTTAACGTTGTCAACAGTATTAAAAAGCACCCACAATTTCAATAGCATGGTGTGGATAACAGTGAAAGGGGATAAATTCACTTATTTAGAATGTCTTGCCCTCACTCTGAATGAGCTGTATTTGCCCTCAGTCATTCCTGACTAAGATCACCTATGTGACCTGTCGAGGTAGCATTGCCTTCATTCTAAAGTGGCTTTTTTCCCACAGTAAAATCAATTTTCAATAAAATCTAATTGGTTATATAGTACTAGTGTGCCATCATATCCAGTGCCTGGAATGACTTTGGTGAAAGGAAGAAAGCATCTTGGCTAGGAAAAGTAGCAGAGAAGCTACAGCAGATAGGTGAAAGAATGCCAACAACTTTATGTATGAATGTACACATATGGAAGCAATCTCAGATTTCAGGGCTTTTGCACAAAATGTATTTGTCCCCTTCAAACAGTGCTTTCAGCCCGAAAATCAAAATATCTGAACAAACAAAACAAAGATACAGCAGTCCCCCGAAATTCGCAGGGGTTGTGTTCCTAGAGCACCCGTGAATTGTGAAAAACTGCACATTTTGAATGTGGTAAAGGTTCATTGCCAGAAGCCTTAGAACAGGGGTCCTCAAACTTTTTTGGGGGGCAGTTGAAAGGTGCTGGCGATGGGCACGGGCCACCAAGGTGGTGCAGGCGAGGGGTGAGGGCCGGGCCGGGGGACTGGCGCGCGTGCGGAGCGAGGCAGGGGCAGGCACGGGCAGAGGTAATTTTCTCCAAGTGAGTCCAAACCAATCTCCTTGCGAGGCTCACAAGGAGATCGGTTTGGACTCGCTCAGAGAAACAATCTCGAGGCACCGGCTTGGTCTCAAGGAGATCAGTTTGGACTTGCTCGGAGAAAAAGATCTCCTCGCGAGCAAGCCACCGCCCGGCAAGGAAAATTCCATGAAAGACTGAGGCCGCGAACGCTGAACCGTGATTTCACGGGGATATACTGTACTATCCTTACCAAACAATCAAATCCTACTTTAAAATCTAATCTGGTCTTGCTGGTATCCTACCCCGCCACTCCACTCCACACACACGCCTCCAAAATAATACAAATATTATATGTACACACAATTGTGTTTATTCCTTCCTTACATCCTGAAATAATCAGGCAGTTCTTCATAAAATTAGTGCATTCGACCTTTTCATTTTCCTACAGAGCCAAAATACAGACACATCTTCTTTGGGAATTTATTTATTTATTTAAATTAAAGATAATTATGTAAAACTGCCGCAAGATGGCAGTGCACAGAGCAATTTTAGTCCCCCCCCACCCCAAATCAACCAAACCTATTCATTACAATAGATTGCATGCAGAAAGGATATCTTGTGTGTTATTTAATATTTACAGATATAAGGGCTATAATTTCTCTCCTTAAAGAAGAATTGTAATATTTGCTGAAATGTTTAAAATCTTCAAGTATGACACTCCAGGTTTTCTCTGAAAATGATTATGTATGAATGAGGATGAATGAGAATGGAAGAAGGGTTTAAAAAAGCACTTGCAAAAATTTACTATATAAAAATATACTAAATATACTAAAAATTTAATTCCTATATAAACGGAACAGAAAGTAATCTTCCTTGAGTGAGATAACCCTTCCATTTCTTAGGAAAAAACTGAAGAATATCCTTCAGTAAAGGACAAATTGCAAAACATGTGGGAAAAAACTGGTGTACTTGCCATTTTGGTTTTGGGTTTACATCATGGATCCCTCTTCAGGATTCTCTACCTGATTCCCCCTTGTTCTGCTTTAGTTTTAGTTTTAAATTAGTGTCATTCACAGCAAGAAGATCACATATGGCATGGCATTTTAATCTTTACGACCTAGCCAAAATGCCCTCTCAGTATTTCTTTCCCATTACTAATTTAAGATAGGAAGACAATCCCAGTATCCCAGCACCCTACAACTGTGGATCCCTCCCCCTCAGAAGAGTTGCCCTATTCAAAACATAAGCACCTGTTGGAATCAGTCGAAGGCATTTTGGTTACTGCTAACTTCTCAACAGCCACATTTAAATGTTTTTATACTGCACTTGTAAACAGTGTGATCACTCTTGTCTATCTCAGTGCAAACAGCTGTGTGAATACAATTGCTTGCTGATTCTTTTGCTGCATTGATTAGTAGCCCGAAATACATTATTTTGCATTGCTCATTTGTATGATACCCCAAATTCAAGAGCACTTTTTCCTGTAGCAATAAAAAGCCAAACATTGCAGCTCATTATTTTTATATATCCGAATGTCTTCTCTGACTAGAGTTGGTTTGCAAACAAATTTTATGCTTTTTAAGCATTACCCAAGGTAGTGGCATTCTCAGCCATGGATTGCCATGGGAGTAATGTATACTGGTATCATCCTAACATATTGGGTTGGAGTAACACATCTGGAGGACACCAAGTTGGGGTAAGCCGTAGTAGTCAGTCTATGTATCTATGACATCATTTCCTAGTCTGTCTCCTTTATTTCCCAGCCCACATTAATGCTATCCACATTAACTTGTGATAGCAAATTAATTATTTCACCACAAACAGAAATATCTAGAGCAAGGTGGAGGAGCTTCCCAAGGCCTGATTTGGCTTGGGACCAATGATTGTGAGCAATGGTTGAGGAGGATCAGGAAAAAGATCTTAGAGTACAATCCAGATGGAAAAGAACACGAGAGTCATATTATATGTATTGTTTTTAGGGCTAACATTCTGAACTTCTGAGGAGCATAATCCAGGCCAAGGAATAACAAAGTTTAAAGGCATCTATCATCCTAGTAACTGTGATGTACATTTTCCTCTTTCACTTGCAAACCAGAAATGCTAGCACTGTGACAGGCAAGTTAAGGACATACCATATGGGGAAATAAAATAATACAGAAATGTATAAAAATTAAATATTGACATGAGCAACATTGATCTGGCATTGATGTTGATGATCATAGCTCATACATAGCATTTGTATTTCTTGGAGGCCCACTTTAAGAATGGATTCAAGAAATGAAGAGTGAAGCTTTAATTCCTTACAAATTATCTGGCAACATACTTTTAACCACAAATCATTTCCTTTCTATATCTCTTTTCTGCCCTTGTGCTGGAATCTCGGTGGTACAGCGAGTGCCTCAGTGAAGGCTGATTTTAGCCCAAGGACCACAAGTCACTGAAACAGCTGCTTAGTGTTTGTTTAATATTCTGGATTTTTGAGAACAAGTTGAGCATAAAAGGGACCTCCAGATGTTTTAGATTTCAACTCCCATCATCTTGATCCCTGTGTAAGTTGTCAGGGGCTTCTGGGAGCTGAAGTCCAAAACTCTGAAACTCTACTGTCTGCCCACACTTGCCTTGGGATGACCAGGTGGCCTATCAAAGAAACAGGGGCTACTGTACCTTTAATAACTGTGTAGAAAATGCCATGTAGTCAAGCGTCTGCTTTGCATGATCACCACAGCCCATCATGACTTATTTTTGACCTGCAGGCATTAGCTCACCAATTTATATCACCACCCTTGGCTTCTCAGGCTGTCTGAATCTGGCAACCATGGTTTACTGGAGGCTTAACAAACCCTGCAACAGTCCATGAATTCTGGGTGGTTTGTTAACCAATACAGCAGCCACCCTTGCCGGGTTCAGGCAACATGACAAGGTGTGCCAATCATGGGTAATTAGGAAAATGAGTTGGCACACAACCAGCATGTGTGGGAGTGGCTAACAAGCCAGCATGGCTTCTTAACCACCCTTATGTCATGTGAACCCAGCCTGTGTGTGTGCACAAATGTCACGTGTAAAGTCAGTACTGGGGGCAGGATAGAAGGCCCACTACAAACAGCCACAGGGCCCACAATGATCTTCACCTGACCCTGCTTTTGAAAATCTGGCACACTCTTTATGCCTTCTGGCGCCAGGTAAAAAATCTTTTTGTTCACTCAATATTCACCCAATATTTTAACAATTTAATTATCTTTTTAAAAACTCTATTTTATCTATATTGTGCTATTATATTTAACTGCTGCTGCACCTTGGATTAACTTGGACATTACTGTTGGGGGTTTGTTGTGGGCCTATTGGTGCTATTTTAGTGTTGATGTGTTATTTATCCTTGATTTTAATGTATTGTTTTTTATTTGTACATTTCGATTGTGTAAACCACCCAGGGAGTCATCTTGATCAATGGGTAGTATAGAAATTAAATAATAAATCTGTCAAGCACTAACCTGTGATTTTTAGGAAGGCCTCACAAGATTGTCCTCATAGTCATCTTTTCATTTGGCTGTTTGTATGATTCTGGAGCCATTTTTGTGCCATGGTGTGAACCAATGGCATTTTCTAAGGTTTTCTACCCTGTTAAGTGCAGGTGCAGAGGGTGGGGGGTTACCACTGGTGGCAAGTGAGGTGAATACTTTGTCCTTGTCTGTGGTCCACAATCTCTGAACTGGCTCTCTCAGTGTAGCAGCCTGTGTAATGTGGGGAGCGGCAACACTTCTGCTCAGGACTCACTGTAGCTTGGAGAAACTAAACTTTACATTTCCAGATAACCAGGTATCTAGAACCAATGCCCTAGGGCTATCCCA